GTTCCCTCTTTCATGGTGCTCTGGGTGGAAGAACCTGTTCCATCACATGTTCCTTCTTCCAGTGCAGCTTCAGCCCAATTGCTTCATCATCATGTTCCTGTCTCTCAGAAAGAATGTTAGTTTCATCATAAACCACATGAACTCTTTCTTCAACACATATAGTTCTTTTGTTATAGACTTTATAAGCTTTGCTATGTGAAAAGTATCCCAAGAATACTCCCTCATCACTTCTGGGATCAAACTTACCTAGGGAGTCTTTACCATTATTGTGCACAAAGCACTTGCATCCAAATGCCCTAAGATGGGATATATTTGGTTTTCTCCCTTTAAGTAACTCATAGGGAGTCTTCTATACAAGAGGTCTAGTCATGCACCTATTTATGATGTAGCATGCAGTATTTACAGCTTCTGCCCAGAAGCTATGAGACAGTTTACTAGAAAGAAGCATAGTCCTAGCCATATCTTCAAGTGCCCTATTATTTCTTTCAACTACTCCATTTTGTTGTGGAGTCCTAGGAGAAGAAAAATTATGATCTATGCCATGCTCATCACAAAATTCAGTAAATTTAGCATTTTCAAATTCAGTGCCAGGATCGAACCTAATTGATGCCAGTTGATTACCTAGTTGTTTCTGAGTTTTTCTAACAAAAGAAGTGAACATGTCAAATGCTTCATCTTTAGATGTTAAAAATAATGTCCAAGTAAACCTAGAGTAATCATCAACAAGCACCATCACATATCTTTTACCACCTCTGCTTAATGTTATCATTGGACCACAGAGATCCATATGGACCAGCTCCATCGTCCTGGCAGTGCTTACCACTTTCTTGTATTTAAAAGAGGATCTTACCTGCTTCCCCCATGCACAAGCCTCACAAACTTTGTCTTCCTTGAACTTGATATTAGGTAGTCCTATCACCAAGTCCTTGGAGACTAATTTGTTGAGTTGACTCAGACTGGCATATCCAAGTCTCTTGTGCCAAAGGAGGGGATCATTGTCCAACACACTTAAGCAAGTGAGTTCATTTTCTGAGAGTGTGGACAGATTTACAATATATATATTGTTCACTCTTTTTCCCTGCAAAACAATCTTGTCAGTGGTAAGATTAATCACAAAGCATTTAGTAAAGGTGAATGCTACCAAGTTACCCTTATCACATAGTTGTGATACACTAATTAGACTGTATTTTAAGCCGTCTATCAAATAGACATTCTCAATCGAGTGAGAGTCAGTCTTACCTACCTTACCAACCCCAATGATCTCACCTTTCTTCCCATTTTCAAAGAAGACATTACCTCCTTTGAGGTCCTCAAGTGAAAGGAACTGGTTCTTGCATCCAGTCATGTGCTTTGAGCAGCCACTATCCATGTACCATATTTGTCTGCTCCCCTTCACTTGGACCTGCAAAAATAAATTAGGGGTTAGTCTTAGGAATCCAAACTAGTTTGGGTCCCTTTCTATAGGCAAAAGGATGAATCAAATTCTTCTTAGCCCAACCTGGCAACCTATTTTTCCCTTGAACAAACTTTTTATTCTTTTGACTAGCCTTTTCTTTTGCAGTGTATTCACTTTTATAGCGACCAGTCTTACCACAGTGTCTGCAAATTTTGTTCTCACGAAGTGTAAGGTACTTGCTTTTGGGATTCCATTTAGGTGGCAGATTCCCAAAGCTAAGTCTTCTTCTATTGCTACTATGATGTTCCTGTAGCCATGAAAGTGCATCGGAGGATCTGTTCCATTTACAAGTTTTGTCTAGTTCATGCTTGACTTTGCCTAGATACTCTTTCAAAATTCTAACCTGCTCATCCTTCTTATACAACTCATCTTTTAGTTTAGCTACATTTTCTTCTAGAGTGAGTTGTGTGTAATCAACTGTCTTCTTACTTGTTCCTAATTTCAGTTTTAGGTTTTCAAATTTAAGTTCTAGGACATTTGATTCAAATGCATGAACCTGGTTCTTTAATGCAGTATTTTCACTTATAGTCTCACTAACCCTAAGTTCCAGGTTCTTACACTTTGCTTTCAAAATCACACATTCCTTAGACAGTTGTTCATTTTCATTGTTTACATCCTCAGATTCATCAATGAAATCTAGAAGTAATTCAGATAGCCTTTCTTTAGACAAAAAAATAATCTCGTCTTTGAGATAAATTACACTTACCTCATATTCCTCATCAGATTCTCCAATGGCCATAAATGCTTGTTCATCTCCATCTTCATCATCTGAGCTTTCATCTGAGCTTTCTCCCCAAGTAGCAACCATAGCCTTTGTTGATCCTTTGTTCTTCTTGGGTTGAACCTGTTCCTTCTTCCTGTTTCTTCGTTCAGCTCTTTCCTTCTTCCATTCAATTTCCCATTGAGGGTAGTTTTTGATGTGGTGATCAGTTTTTCCACACTTATAACAGTCCTCATTGGTCTGTTTTTAAGTAACCCTTGATTTGTTTAGCCTCCACTTCTCGAAGAACCCTTTCCTCTCATTAGGTGCTTCTTGAAGTCCTTTGTGATCATAGCCATTTCATCTTCCTCTAGACCAGAACCTTCAGTGATTCTGAGTGTCAGGCTCCTTTCCTTCTTGGGTACATCCATCTTCATGGTTTGCCTTCTAAGTTCATAAGCAGTGAAATTTCCAATTAGCTCATCCAAATTAAGAGTGGCAACGTTCTTTGATTCCTGAATAGTAGTGATTTTGCTCTCCCATGAGACTGGCAGAACCCTTGTCAAATTCTTCTCAACTTTGTCTTCTTCAAGAATAACCCTTCCAAGAGACTTAAGTTTATTTGTTAGTGTGGTGAATCTTGTATACATCTCTTGAATGGTTTCCCCTTCCTTCATAGTGAAATTCTCATATTGAGAATATAGTAAATTTCCTATGGACCTTTTCACCTGAGGTATTCCTTCATGAGCCACTTGCAAAGTATCCCAAATTTTCTTAGCAGTAGTACAACTTTGAATTCTGCTGTACTCGTCCGGACCAAGTCCACACACGAGCCATTTCTTGGCCTTGGCATTCTTCTCTCATTTCCTCAAGTCCTCAGTAGTGCAGTCAGCTCTTGTTTTTGGCATATCTACTCCTTCAACATTCTTTTTCATAGTAGCCAGGGGACCATCAGTGACGATGTCACATAGCTCATAGTCCTCTCCTATGATGTGGCCTCTCATTTTGTTTTTCCACCAGGAGTAGTACTGACATTGAAGAGTGATGGCCTAGCAGTGGATTGTCCTTCTCAATTTCCAGGTAGTGCACTCATCTTGATCTTCTCCTAAGGTGTTAGCCTCTTCAAGGATAACCTGCTCTGATACCAATTGATGTTTTAACTTCAATACCACACAAGAGGGGGTGATTTGTGTGGTGTCCAATTTTTTGCATGCACAGATTATAGAAGAATCTGGTTCTTTTATGTGTTCCTTACACTACTGTTGCGGAATAATAAATGCAGAAATTAAAGAACACAATGATTTTTACGTAGAAAACACCTGGCTCAAAAGGTGAAAAAACTACGACCTACTTCCTAATAGGATTTTTCCAAAATTCTTCACTAAATCACTGAGCCAAAAACTACATTTACAAAATTCTTTTGTAAACTTAGGATTAACTCTAATCCCGTTGTGATACATAACCTCTAACTGTTGCGACAACTTTAAGTTAACTCTAACTTGAATACTCTGAGTACCTATTACAATTGCCTCTAGATAAAACTGAAAGGTACACTATGAAAACACCTACTACAATTGAACTAGAATAAAAGACAGACACTTGAAACTGATTCTTCTATCTGGTTCATGTAGCTTCAGGTTCGCACACTTGAATCACACACGAATTGCTTGCAAAATGCCTTGCTATTTTGCTCTCAATTCACGTTTAACTTATGCTTTTGTGCGTCACTGGTTAATGAGAACATCCTGCGATTTATAGAGTTAGTAGAGTAGAAAATAACTTGAGTTCTAACGCTACTCTTCCTTGGTGGAAGAGTTGTAGTTGATCTCAACCTCTAACTCTTTCCTTTATCTTGGATAGTGTTCTCTTTGATTAAGGAGTCCTTCTCCTTATCAATTATGCAACCATTTTCGGTCAAGAGAGATCAGGAGATATTAATTAAGGAGTCCTTCTCCTTCTCAATTATATAACCCTTTTCTATCAGGAGATATTAATTAGACCAAGTTAAGCTTATCTCATTCACGTGCATCCCGCGTGCTCGAATCTGCTAGTGTCTGTGCACACAAGGGATTGACCCGGTTCATGCCTGAGCTTCCTTTGTCAATCTTCAAAACTATCCTTCACTTAGGCCAACAGAAACAAAAAGAGAAGCCACTCCCAAAGTTAAAGGAGCAATCACCACGAAATTTGAAACCTCAACCAAAATTGAATATTCACAACTATAAAGCCTATCAGGATCCTCGTTAAGTTCCCTTAACTTATCTTTAAGACTTGTTGATTTAAACCATTTTTCCTGCGAAAAATCATATCATTACAATGTTGAGTTGCTTACAAGCGGGGGTACACTGGTGATTAATTTGCCAAGGTCGTCACTGTCGTCAAGCCCATTGGGCAAAGAATTTGAATTTGATAGTTTAAAATTAAAAAAAAGGATGAATCACTACAAGAAAGAAGGCATTTGCCAACAACAATTATTGTTGCCATAAATCATTGTTGCTAAAAATACTTTTAGCAACCACAAAAATATTGTTGCACACCATTGCAATAAACGCCGATGGGAAAAGTATTCTCAACAACTAATAATGTTGTTGCAAAAAGCTAACTTAACGCAACAAAAAGTATTATTACCTTAAATTATATTTTGTTGGTAAAAAGTCATGTAACTGTGGCTTATGAGAATTTTTAACAACAAAAATTATTGTTGCAAAAAATGAGCTTATTTACCAATTGTTGTGGTAAAAAATTGGTAGGAAAGTTAGTTATTGATCTATTATCAAGGCTTTTAGAAACAATTGCTATTGTGTCCATGCATTAATTTTTGCCAACAATAATTTCAGAAATGTATATATAAAATAATAAATTATATATATAAATGTCAATACATAAAATTGATACACCAATATTTACTCACTTTCAAAAGCTAAATCTCCTAAAACGTATGCTTTTATACTTGCAAAAAGAACAAAGGAACCCTATACCAAGGCCATTAAATTCTAATCTAATTTAATCCCAAAAACAAATCTTCTTCCAACAACTTGTTGCACTGCACGAACCATATTTCCAGCAATGATGATTTAAACATGTCCATCCTACAAAAGAAGATAAATATAATTACATATTGATAAAAGGAAGTTGTAACGTACAAAACTACAATTAATAAAGAAAAAGAGGGAACCAAATATGCCTATTGTCCACTTACTAAACATTGCAACTATTTCACCACTGAAAAATTTACATTCTACAAACTGTTGTATAGAAACATTTAGCTAAAAGAAAATTGAATATAAGTTTCAAAATTATCAGATCAAGAGAACTATGTCAAATAGAATTGAATAAATTGAGTTGTAAATCATTCAAATATTCCACAATAATGCTGAATGCTCCCCCAATCAAAGTTGATGTACCAGAACCTACTAAATACTCCCAAAGATGCAATACTATAGTCAAAATCAAATACCATACAAAGATTGATTCAAGTAAATAGACTCATTTGTGCATACATACAAGATATTTACTGTTTATATGAAAGATAAAGTTACTTAGCATGACGTGTAGGACTTGCCTCATCCACTTCTTCCAAAATATAGCATTATAAGATCAACAAGTATAAATGGTAGCAAAAATGTGAAGGCCATAAAACAGAGTAGGGGAAACAAAAGATACAATTCACTATATGACACTGGTTCCATCAATTTCAATCTCCCCCATAGTTTTTCAATTCATTGACAAAATCAAGAATTCTTAAATAGCTTGGTGAAATAGAAAGGAGACTCTGAGTAGTACACTCGAAAGAATTCAGCATTACTAGCTATATAGGCAATGTCCAAGATATAAAATATAGCGGACCAACAAAAAAAACTGTAGATTGAACAGAGTTAGTTTTTAAAAAATGAATAGACTTAACTAGTTGTGCGTTTGAAATTACACCGTAAGACCAACTCTACTGGAAACATGTACAACAGCCATGCCATAATCAAAATTATAAGTTGCAAGAAATATTGGACCATCATAAGCAAAAAAGAGATGCATTCAATAATCGATAGTGTCAGAACAGAGACTAGTCTTTTTCCTGGAGTTTCCTCCTAGGCTTCCTAACATAAAGAAGTATAAAGGTAGGCCATGGTTTGAAATCTTTAACTAATATTCCTATGTGATTAGAGAACAATCCACTCAAGCTACAACAGAAAGAACCAAATTCTCTATATATGAAATTTGTAAAGAGTAATTTCTTACTTTATGCTAAGTTAAAATCGTTTTTCTCAAAACAATTACTGGTGAATACAATGAGAATTGTAAATGACTGAGTGATCTTTAGCAAAATCAGTAGATCAACTGTTCAGATATTTAAGACAATTATCTACAAACTGATTGACTTGTAGAAACTGGGTTTAGCGGTCAAGGAAACATATACTATGAACTGTTGCATCTTGTACTTAATTCTCTTTGCAGATCAAAGGTTTCATTTCTTATTGATTAACTCATGAATATTTCTTTACATGTGTTTAAATCTCTACTGCATAATAAACTATAAAGGTTTCTATTAAAGCAGAGTATTACCTCATTTTCTCCATCTCATGTTTATTAGCAAGAGTTTTTCTCTCTGCACTTGTGATATCCTGAGAATAAAGGAGGGAAGTATAATTGGTAGTATAGATAATTCAAGAGCAATTATACACAAATATACAAGTGGAACTACTAACCGGCCCTAGCATCTTATAAAAAATATAGTGAATGAATGATAATTGGTAGCACAAATAAGGCTTTATCGATGTAAAACACAGAGATTTATTTTTTGAAATCCCTGTAATATTGGAAAAAGTTTGTTCTTCTATTTTTTCTCTCACTTGTAATTACTACAACACTTTGAGCAACAAAAATACTACAACACTTCCTTAATGCTAGCTTTATAATATAATTACCTTTTTTCTAAAAAGAAATTACTTCTTGAACCTCAAAATTCTTCGGTGCAAGACACTAATATTTATCAATAAAACTAAGGAACATAAAGGTCGCTAGAGTTTTAATTTCAACAAGGCAACTAATCCTGTTAAACTCCTACTTGAAATCACAGTAATTGTTAGATTTCACCAAATTTTCTAAGAGAACAAATAACGCCTAATCTTATAAAATATCCAATCCCTTGGAACCCGAAAAGCCCATTGAAATCAGAGATACAAATATGACATCTTCTGTAAGATGAATAATTGATAGTAATACTCAGATTACCAAATGTAACTATTTTCACTCTGAGTTTCCATCACTACTAAGGATAGAATCAGTACAATTGGAATGCATTAAATTAATTTTCAAACATAGATGCTAAAGAAACGAATATAGACAAAGCAGAACATTTTACAGTTAGATGTGGGAATCAAAGTACCATAACCAAAGAGAGACTTTCATCCGCAAAGCCAGAAACAACCTATTCTTTAGGAGTAGTAGAACCTCAAAAATATAGCCAAAGCATATGCCAAAATCTACATCTATCCCAATTCCAAAAATCACAAATATACCAAAATATAAAATTATAGTCACAATCTGCTTGTGAATCTATCAATAAATAAAAAAGAACATAATATATATATTTTTTTTAAAGTGAAATAGAAATACCAATCGAATAAGGCATGAGACCATTGATTAGAACTGGAATGGAACTCTAAGTATTGATGTGGATGAACCACACTATCTTTATTTAGAACCTGCAAGAAAATATTTTATTTGATGCCCTAGTTTTTGCTTTGAGAAAGCGCCGACCCTGGTTAGGACCTCTTAACTCAAAACCTAAATCAACGCATTCAAAGAATTGAAACCCTAAACTAGAAACAATTGAAAATAGAGATGAAGGAGCTTACAATTTCAAGCAATAGTCAAAGCACTGGAAGAAAAGGTTGTTGCTCATTTGAACCTCGTAACTCAAAGCACGAGTGGAAGGGTTGAACGAATTGGGGAAGGTGAGAGCCAAAAAGAAAATAAAAAGGGGGAGGGATTCAGGGGGAAAAAAACGGAGGGAAGTTTGCCGCGTTTGTTTTTTGCTGAAAATTGAGAAAGAGCTAAATATTCTTTAGGCCACAAGTCAAACAAGTTGTTGAAAAAAAATTAGTATTTTACCAACAAGAAAACTACTTTTGGCAACACTGATAATTTATTGTTGCCGATTTATTTATATCTTAAAATTGTTATATTACCCAAACGTTATGGCAACAAAATTAAAACGTTAGCCAACAAGAAAATTTTTGTGGTTAAAAGTTCTATGATATAGCAACAACTAAATAAAGTTGTTGCCATTTATTAGTATTTAGCAATAATATCATTGTTGTTGTGGAAAGATTGTTGCAAATTCTATACTTTCTTATAGTGAATTTCAACCTTGAAACTATCTAGACGGGATATTGTAAAACAGTAACTGGCCTGTCAGAATTGAGTAACATACAGCAGTCGTCTCACCTTCCTCTCTCATAATGCCGGTAGTCCTACCAGTAAAATCAGCAAATTCAATGCCAACAGCTCCCATCTTTGTGTGACAATATTGTAAGCTTCGCCGCAGTGCCTGTACTTGTTGCCTTCTTCATGTGGAAACTTACTGCCCCCTAGAACATTAGATATTTACTATCGACAGCAACGACACAGAAGAAGATACGAGATCCCAGGAAACGGGGTCGGGTTTTGTGATGTTGTGTGCCTATACAATTCCATAGAAGCGTAAGGGAGTCTGATCTCTGTATCCGATTCCCTGCAAGGGGTGCTTAATTACCGCTTGTTTGGATGGTTGTTACGTGTCGTTTCATAGTATATCATATCGTATTGTATTGTACTGTATCGTTTGATCAATACAATGTTTGGATAGATTGTATGTTCGCCGTTATTTCATGATATCACACACCATCAATATGAAGAATAAACTTACAATATTATAAAGAAAAATTATGATACGGGATAAAATTATAATATAAAAAGATAGGGTAAATGATAAAGTAAAATTATTTAATAATAATGAAGGGTGAGATGAGAGAAAGAGACAAGGTAACGACGCGACCACATCAAATCGGTCGTTACATAAAGTGGCACATTTCGTTGTTATGTAACGACAGATTTAACGATACGATACAATAAAATTTAAGTAACAATCAAAACAAACATCGTATTTCAAGTAACAATACGATACAATACAATAGGTAACAACCATCCAAACAAGCTGTTAGGGTGGTACGCTCTGCCGGCCCGGTAGATGTGGCTACCTACAACGTACGACCCAGCATCCTAGGGCTTCGAACTCCTTTTGGCTTTGAAGCTTTGAATTCGAATTTGGGTTTTCAAAAAATATTATTTGTTTAGATTGGGTATTGTTGCAAACAATTGAGAATATTCTTTGAAATTTATATCTCAATTTTGAGGGTGTTTGGCGAAAATTAGAGTTGATTTTTGTTAGATTTAAGATTGAAACTCGAAGAAGAAGACATGACATACAATATACATACAAATTGTATTAAAATTGTATTATAGTTATATATAAATTGTAGTTTCATATTTTTTTTATTTGAATATTATATGAAAGTTGAAAATTAATTGTATATTGTATGAATCGTTGTATGAAATTTATATTTAAGTTATTAATAATATCTTTTTACAGATAAGTTGTTTATATATATCTAAATTATATTAAGAGAGGAGTTTTAATTGGAATTTCAGAGAAGAAGAAGAACACACCGCGTACAAATATATACAAAATATATATAAAAGACATATTGTATAAAATTTATATTAAAATTGTACATAAGTTGTATGATGTTGTAGTTATATTTAACTGGTAAGAATGATATATGAAAGTTGTAGATAAGTTGTAAATAAATTGTATACTAAATAATTAGTTGTATGAAATATATTTTTAGTTTGTGTTGTTATAAATTTATTTTTAATTTGTATATTGTTGTACCTGCCATACATTATTATTTTCTTACTCAAATTGTTAAAAAAAAAAAAAAAAAAAAAA